CGGTGGTGGTTTGCAGGCCAGCCACATCCCCTGGTGACCCAAGCGGAGGCCCTGGCATCTGGAGTTTATTTATCTTCTACAATTGAAACTTTGTAGCCTGGAGCAGAGCCAAGCCTCCTGCTTGCTCCTTGGCTGCTGCCATTTCTGTTTGGATTTGTTTACCTTCTATAATTGAAACTTTGTAGCCTTGAGTGGAGGCTTAGGCCAGCTAGGGCAGGCGGAAAGCTTGGTTTCCTCCATTGCCTGGGAAACCCAAACCTCTCTGGCCCCGGCCATCTTGGTTGGTTGGGTTAATTTTCATGCTCGCTCTGATTGGCTCGTGGGTGTGGCTGGTGGGTGTGGCTTTTGGATTTAGCAGAGGTATGGTCAATTTGCATATTAATCTTTTATTAGATAAGACTAGAGAGGCCTGATGCAAGAAATTTGTGCACAAGGGGACAGGGGTCTCCTCGGCGCAGCATGAACCCTCTCCCATCCGGGACCGACTGCTGGTTTAGGCCCGATCCTGCAGACATCCCTCTCACATTACTGGACCACTGGCTCCTAATTGCTCACCTGCCTGCCTGCCTGGTTGCCCCTAGCCACCCCCTTCTGCTGGCCTGATTGCCCCTCACTGCCCTGTGTGCTGGCCTGATCACTCCTAAGTGCGCCCTCCCTCCCCTCCCCTCCTCCCCCGCCAGCTTGGTCACTTCTTACTTCCCCCTGCTGCTGCCATCCTGGTTGCCCTCAATTGCTCCCCACCAATCTACTCGCCCCTCACTGCACCCCTGCCAGCCTAATTGCCCCCAACTGCTCCTCTGCTGGCCTGGTCACCCTACACAGCCAGCTTGTTCAGTTGTTTGGTCATCCCTCACTAATCCCCCTTCCGGTCTGGTCATAGGCAGCCATCTTGTGAGAGCATGAGAGTCAATTTTCATATTACCTCTTTATTATATAGGATTGAGTATTTAAAATTCAAACAATAAATTTATATATATATATATATATATATATATATATATATATATATATATATATTTTTTTTTTTTTTTTAATGTGTGACTCAGGAATTTAGAAGTGTCTAGGACACTTAATAAAGACAAAATTATATCTTAATTACTATGCCTTTCTGTTAGTGAAATAATTCATTAACTGTTATGGAACATTTTGTAATAATGGCAGCTAAACATTATAGTACCTCACTTCTACTAGGCCCTGTGCAAGGTGCTCTGCATACCTTTAATCCTTTCAACAGTCCTATGAAGGAGATGTTATTATAACCATTAACAGGTGAAATCACAGAACTTGGAGAGATCACATACTGTGCCCAAGAGCACCCAGGTAGGAAGCAACAGATTGCTTCCTTTGCCCAACCATCTAATGATCATTTGAGCATCTACCTCACTTCCATATTACATACGCATTTTAAATATACTTTGCCTTTATGTTCAGGCCTGATTATTAAAGAAAGATCTAATGCATATTTAACATTTTTTCTTGAATTTTATAAATGGACAGGACACAATGTTCTTCTAATGTTTTTCTTTTTTGCACCTGAGTCTCACAGGGTGACTTCACATACTTGATCTTTTAGTGCTGAGTCAACTTTCTGAATCAGTTTTAGAGGCTGATTTAGGTCATTAAACATGCTTTTAAAACTTAACCTTGCCAAAAAAAAGTGGACAACTTCCCCCTTATATCTGCCCTCTCATATTGGGAAGTTAAGGCATCCCTACTGAAAACATGAAATATTTTTTAAAGATATATTTTATTGATTTTTTACAGAGAAGAAGGGAGAGGGAGAGTCAGAAACATTGATGAGAGAGAAACATCAATCAGCTGCCTCCTGCACACCCCATACTGGGGATGTGTCTACAACCAAGGAACAGGCCCTTGATCAGAATTGAACCTGGGATTTTTTTTATAGGTATTTTTATTGATTTTGTACAGAGAGGGAGAGAGAGCTAGAAACATCGATGAGAGAGAATCATCGATCAGCTGCCTCTTGCACCCCCCCCCCCACTGGGGATATGCCCGCAACCAAGGCACATGCCCTTGACCGGAATCGAACCCGGGACCCTTCAGTCCGCAGGCCGATGCTCTATCCACTGAGCCAAACCGGTTTCGTCAAACCTGGGATTCTTGAATCCACAGGCCGATGCTATATTCACTGAGCCAAACCACTTAGGGCATGAAATATTTTTAAGTCTTTTGTTTATTGTCAAAATTTAAACGAACAGTTGTAATTTATATTTCATAACATAAACTAGTACTAGGGACCCAGTGCACAAAATTCGTGCATGAGGGGGGGTTCCCTCATCCCAGATTGCACCCTCTTCAATTGGGGCCCCCTTGGGGAATGTCCAACCAGCGGACGGACATCCCTCTTGCAATCTGGGACTCTTGGCTTCTAACCACTCACCTACCTGCCTGCCTGATTGCCCCTAACTGCCCTCCCTTGCCAGCCTGATCTCGCCCCCAACTGCCCTCCACTGCTGACCTGATTGGCCCCCAACTGCTCTTCCCTGCCAGCCTGATCTCATCCCCAACTTCCCTCCCTGCTGGCCTAATCGCTTCTAACCCCCTGCGGGCCTGATCTTGCCCCCAACTGCCCTCCCCTCCAGCCTGATCGCCCCTAACTGCCTCTGCCTTGATCCCCACCACCATGGCTTTGTCTGGAAGAAAGTAGGATGTCCGAAGATGGCTGGTCGACCTGGTCTAATTAGCATATTACCCTTTTAGTAGTATAGATAGATTATATAGGATAGGATTGCTTAAATGGGTGGGGGGGAGGGGGATAAGCCTTTTTCACCAGGAGGAGATGCTCTTGGCAGACAAAAACACATAATCCTTTCATCTGGACTGATAGCCAGCCATATGCACTATACTACCAAATCAGTCAAAAAAAAATTGAACCGCTTTCTTACACCTTATACCAAAGAGCTGTTGCCCTTAAAACTCTCCTCAGCCCCACCTTAGGTTCTGGCTTTGCAGTTCACTCAGATTTGGTTCTGATTGGTCGGTTTCTATGCCAGTCAGCAACTCTAGGCCTATCTCTGGGCCTGATCAAAGAGATGGGCTGATCAGCAGCCCCCGAGGAGGCCCAGAAGGAGAGAGGTGCAGCTGCTAGCAAAGCCAGGAGATAAAGAGAGAGGCAACAGCTGATCAACAGCTGTCACAGAGGCTGGGGATCAGACCCTGCCTCTCTCTCTGCAGACCTCTCTCTGGTCCTGAGCTGCAGCCCCCTCGGCAGTCAGTACTGGTCCACTATGGCAACCCAGCACTGACTTCTGATATTTGGTCAAGCCTTGGTCATTACGGACCCCAGTTCTTTATATATATATTGATGTATCCCATTGGAATTCTTGATAACAATCAATACTAAATGAATTTATTAGAAAGATATAAGGTAATTCACAGATATATCAAATACTAGGGAACTAGACTTAGGAAATAGGAATCTAGCCGAAACCGGTTTGGCTCAGTGGTAGAGCGTCGGTCTGGGGACTGAAAGGTCCGAGGTTCGATTCCGGTCAAGGGCATGTACATTGGTTGCGGGCACATCCCCTGTAGGGGGTGTGCAAGAGGCAGCTGGTCGGTGTTTCTCTCTCAGTGATGTTTCCCTTCCTCTCTCCCTTCCTCTCTGTAAAAAATCAATAAAATATATTTAAAAAAAAAAAAAAAGGAAATAGGAATCTAGGAGGATGAGGGATTTAGAACCAGAGCCAAGGTTATGCCACAGGAATAGCTGGTTAGAAGAGTGCTGGTATACATGTTTGTGTACACATTTACATATAATATTCTTCACTGTTAATAAGCAGAATATTAAGAGAAAAGGAATTAACTCAAAAGTTCATCAATAGGGCATTGGTAAAATAAATTATAATAATTAAGAAGAATTTATCAAATAAATATATAATATATCTGTATAAGGAATGCTATATTGCAATAAAAATATTACAGATTTAAACATGCACTTATAGAGTGATATTCAAGATATAAAAAGTTTGAGAAAGTTACAAAATACTGTATTTAGAACTATTCTATTTTTATTTTAAAATATATATATTTTTATATGAATAGAAAAAACTCAGTAGTATATACCAAACTAATAATTGTTTTTTCTGGGTCATTGGTTACTGAGAGCCTTTGATTTATTATACCATGTTTCTGTAATGCTTGAAATACTTTTGCTAATAGATGTAAAGTAAATGAATATAAGACAATGACAGTCACATTTGGCTTTCTCTGCTGCATATAAATTGATATTCTCAAAAATCAAGAATTGATACTCCTTGCACTTCTCTCTTCATCTTCCACCATGGTAGTCCTCATTTCATCAATGAGTGTAGTCAGCTAAAGATTTAAAGAGTAAAGAACAGCTGAATCAGTTTGACTCAGTGGATAGAGCGTCGGCCTGTGGACTGAAAGGTCCCAGGTCCGATTCCAGTCAAGGGCATGTACCTTGGTTGCAGGCACATCCCCAGTGGGGAATGTGCAAGAGGCAGCTGATCGATGATTCTCTCTCATCGATGTTTCTAACTCTCTATCCCTCTCTCTTCCTCTTTGTAAAAAATCAATGAAATATATATTTTTTAAAAAAAGTAAAGAACAGATTATAGATTGCTGTTGAGTGACATGCTTTCAAATATTGCTTTACCATAGTATGTGGATCTTAATTCCACTTTAGTTCTATATGTTTTATTTTATCTACTATTATTATTAGCATAATTTTTCAGTCTAAATATCAGGTTATTCTCTAAAGGTATTCTTTTTTTTTCTATTCTTGCATAGTCCCTGTATTTATATTATGAGAAAAAATTTTAACTTAGAGAAAAAAACTTTTAGATAAAGTTTAAAAATATTTTGCATGTGTTTAAATTTGGCATAAAACTTGATGAAACTCATTTTAATTGGATTTTAATATAGCAAATTACTGAATAAAAACATGTCATTTTAGTATAACAAGTTAATCATGTTAAGAATAAGTTAATGATTTTTATTTTTGTATTTGTTTTTAGCATTCCATATTGGAAGAAGAGACTACTATAGATGAAAAAAATGCCTTTGTTTAGTAAATCACATAAAAATCCAGCAGAAATTGTGAAAATTCTGAAAGACAATTTAACCATTTTGGAAAAACAAGACAAAAAGACAGACAAGGTATGAGCTAAAACAATAATATTATTATTAAAATATATTTATTCCAAGGTCAAAAACCAACATAATAAAAAATATGGTCTGTGATTTACTTAGAATCTCTATAAATTTATTTTAGGTTTTATGCATCTATTCATTGTTGAGTCTATTATCTTGAACTTTTGGCATATCAGAACAACCCTCTAATCAACTAAAACCTTCTTTATTAAATTTTTTTTATTTATTTAGAGAAAAAGTAAAAGAAGAAAGAGAGCAAGATAAACATTGATTTATTTTTCTACTTTTCTAAAAAAATATATTTATATTGATTTCAGAGAGGAAGGGAGAGGGAGAGAGAGAGGGAGAGAAAACATGAATGCTGAGAGAATCATCAATCAGCTGCCTCCTACATACCCCACACTGAGACCGAGTCCACAACCCAGGCATATGCCCTACACCAAACCAAACCCAGATCCCTCAGTCCACAGGTCATCACTTCGTATACTGAGCCAAACCAGCCAGGGCTGTTCTACTTCTCTATGCATTCAATGGTTGATTCTTGTATGTACTCTGACTGGGACTTGAACCTGAAGCCTTGGTGTTTCGGGACAATGTCTAACCAACTAAAATACTTGACCAGGGTGGTCTTGAGCTCTTGATTCAGTATCTGGAGCCTCTGACCAACACTGGATTCCTCTAGACTACATAATTTAAAAATCTAAGTGGTTATCTATCTATCTATCTATCTATCTATCTATCTATCTAAAAGCCTAAACAACTGGCCATCTAGCTAACCGGTAGCTATGATGTGCACTGAACACCAGGGAGTAGATGCTTAATGCAGGAGCGGAAACCACAGGCATGGGAACATGGAACAGACTGATGAATCTCAGAAGGAAGGGGAGAGTGGGGAGAGCAGGAAGAGATTAACCAAAGATCTTATATGCATACTGGAGTTCTGGTGCATGGATTCATGCACCAGTGGAATCCCTCTACCTGGCCTGCACCCTCTTGCAATTTGGGATCCCTTGGGGGATATCAGAGAGCCAGTTTTGACCTGATCCCCACAGGCCAATCTGAGGGACCCCACCAGTGCACAAATCTGTGTACCAGGCCTCTACTACCGATATAAGGGTAAAAGCTTTTATTTAAAGGTCAACTGATAGTTTCTACTGCAGTGCAACCTCATTTTAACATTGTTTTAAAATCCTACCACATAGTGCTTCTGCATTGGAAGGACTTTTTAGTGTTAGTATCTATAAATAAAGTACCCTTGAGTGTAAAATATATTTCTGTCTCAGTGTCTGATACAATCTTGTGTTCTTATAAGGATGTAGAAGAATATTTTTCATCCTACATCTTGTAAGTAATGTAGAAATATATTTTAATCCCAGTGTACTTGTAATATTGAACCAATATTGGTCCAAATAGAAAAAAAAGAAAAGATCTTTTTAAAAGAGTAATTCTAAATGACAAGAAAAACTTTTTTAAAAACTTAAAAAGATACTCTCTTCATTAGTAATCAGAAAAAGTCCAATTAATTGCAGTATATTCATAATGTACATGTTCTACCTTGGCAAAATTGTCTGATGGTGTTAAGTATTGACAAGTATGGAAAGCAATAAGAATTTTGATTCACTATGAGTGATAAAGTATAAATTGGTTTTTGGAAACCAATGCTTATCATAAAAGACATAACAATATTTACTTTTAGGCTGAAAGAGAGCCATTCAGGTAACTTAAATATTGTAAAAGGGGTACTTAAATGTTGTTTCTTGATCTGTGGTATGGTCACACAATTTAAGAAACTTCCAACCTTTAATAAATAAGGATTGCTTCAGTAAGATCATAAAATGTATATGGAAATTATTTCTTTAAATATTGTCACATTACTGACTAGTAACTACTGATAGGTCAAGAGTTAAATTTACAATTAATTACTTTTAAAATAGACTGTGTCTCAGTATGGTTTAAGAGAAAATATTTTTTCAATTATGCTGGCTAAATAGAAACAATAGAGCTCTTTTTTAGGTATAAATTTTAGTAACTTTTTAAAATAAAAAAAACAGTGCTTACTAAAAGATTTTTGTTTATAACTGTACAGTGTTCTTTGATCATAAATAAACAGGGCTTAATAAGTGGTTTCTGTTTGTTTATTTGTTTATAGTCTGAAAATTTTTATTCACTTAAGTCTTAGCATACTTTTTGGTCACTAGGCTTCGGAAGAAGTATCCAAATCACTGCAAGCAATGAAAGAAATTCTGTGTGGTACAAATGACAAGGAACCCCCAACAGAAGCTGTGGCTCAGTTAGCACAAGAACTCTACAATAGTGGGCTGCTGGTGACACTGGTAGCTGACCTACCGCTGATAGACTTTGAGGTAAACTTTCTATAAGAGTATATTGTATCTCTGTTTTTTAATTTTGTTATGTATGAGTATTAATATTTGACTTTAATTTTTTATTACTGTTTATTATTTTTAAAGTTTTTTTCTAAAACTCTAAAATCATTTTTAAAATATATTTTTAAAGTTGATTTCAGAGAGGAAGGGAGAGGGAGAGAGAGAAAGAGAGAGAAACATCAATAATGAGAAAGAATCATTGATCTGCTGCCTCCTGAATGCCCATAACCTGGGCATGTGCTCTGACTGGGAAACAAACTGTGACCTTCTGATTTTCTTTTCTTTTCTTTTTTATATATATTTTATTGATTTTTTTTACAGAGAGGACGGGAGAGGGATAAAGAGCTAGAAAAGTCGATGAGAGAGAAACATGCACCAGCTGCCTCTTGCACACCCACTATCGGGGATGTGCCCGCAACCAAGGTACATGCCCTTGACTAGAATCGAACCTGGGACCTTTCAGTCCACAGACCGACGCTCTACCACTGAGCCAAACCGGTTTTGGCTTCTTGTATTTTCTTAGTTCAGGGAGACATATCCAAAAATATATTTCTAAGAGCGATGTCAAAGAGTAGCATTAGCATATGTTTTCGTTTCGGGTTTTTATGGTTTCAGGTCTTACATTTAATTTTTTCATCCATTTTGATTTTATTCTTATAGATAGTATAAGAAAGTAATCCTGTTTCATTCTTTTACATGCCTGTCCAGTTTTGTAACTTTATTTATTTATTTATTCATTCATTCATTCATTTTTATTGTTGGCAGAATTACAGGTGTCCCTTATTCTCCCCCTTTTCAACATCATTTATTGAAGAGACTGTCTTTATCCTATGTCTTTACTTGCTTTCTTTATCATAGACTAGAGGCCTGGTTGCATGAAATTCATGCACTAAGGGAATTCAGCCCACCCTCTCCAATCTGGGACTCCTTGGAGGATGCCTGACTACCGGTTTAGGCTAGTAGGGATTGGACCTAAACCAGCAGTCAGACATCCCTCTCACAATCCAGGACTGTTGGCTTCTAACCACTCACCTGCCTGCCTGCCTGATTGCCACTAACCACTTCTGCCGGCCAGCCTAGTCACCCCCAACTGCCCTCCCCTGCCAGCCTGGTCACCCCCAACTGCCCTCTCCTGTTGCCCTGGTTGCCCCCAACTGCCCTACCCTGTCGGCCTGGTTGCCCCCAACTGCCCTCCCCTACAGGTCTGGTCACCCACAATTGCCCTCCCCTGCAGGCCTGGTCACCCCCAACTGCCCTCCCCTGCTGGCCCAGTTGCCCCCAAGTGCCCTCCCCTGCTGACCTATTCACTCCCAACTGCCCTACCCTGCAGGCCCAATCGCCCACAACTGGCCTCCCCTGAAGGCCTGATTGCCCACAACTGCCCTCCCCTACCAGCAATCTTGTGGCGGCCATCTTATGATGACATGGGGGTGGTCATCTTGGGATGACGTGGGGGCAGCTATCTTGTGATGGTGCAGGGACTACCTATGTTCCCCCCCCCCCCCCCCCCCAAGATTCCTTTGGCTATTCAGCGTCTGCTTCTGGATATTTTTTTTTAGTATTATTTGTTCTAGTTCTGTGAAAAATACCATTGGTATTTTGATAGGGATTTCATTGAATCTGTAGATTGCTTTGTGTAGTATGGACATTTTAATAATGTTAATTCTTCCTATTCATGAACATGGTATATTCTTTCATTTATTTTTATCTTCTTCAATTTATTTCTGCAGTGTCTTACAGTTTTTTTTTTTTCTGAGAACTGGTCTTTTACCATTTTGGTTGAATTTATTACTACATATTTTATTCTTTTTGATGTAATTGTAAATGGGATTGTTTTTTTAATTTTTCTTTCTCTTATTTTGTTGGTGTATAAAAATGCAATCAAATTCTGAATATTAATTTTGTATCCTGCTACTTTACTGAATTCATTTAATTAGTTCTAATAGGTTTTTTGGTAGGATCTTTAAGGTTTTCTCTATACAATTGTATGTAATCTACAAATAATTACCATTTCACTTCTTCCTTTCATATTTGGGTTTCTTTTATTTAATATACTTGATAATGCTATAATTTAAATAGCATTGTCATCAAATGCCCAGATGATTAATTTGATGATTTTTTAGGATGTGTCTGAAAGGTCAGGAATGGAACTTAGTAGTACTCAGTGCACAGAGATTTGGCCATCATTTGGAAAGGTTGTTCCCTTGCTTCATGGTTGTTGGTGGTTCTGGGTGAATTTCTCCATAATGTTCTAGACTAAGCATCTGGTCCTTCTGTTTCTCTACCTTCTCAGAAGCTTCCCCGCATTATTTGAAGTTATGTTTCAATTTCCTGGAAATCTGTTCATTTCAACTGTTACTAAGGCGTCTGCTTGAATAAGTTCATTACCATTTATTTTCTTTTTTTAAACATTTTTTTATTGATTTCAGAAAGGAAGGGAGAAGAAGGGGGAGATAAAAATATCAGGGATGAGAGAGAATCATTGATTGGATGTCTCCTGCATGCCCCACACTGGAGATTAGCCCACAACCCAGACATGTGCCCTCACAGGAAATCGAACCATGAACTGCAGGTTTATAGGTTGATACTCAACTATTGAGCCGCGCCAGCCGAGCACCATTTATTTTCTGGGTACATGCAGCTCATGACAAACAGAATTTTGTAGTTGGAAGGAGTACATAAATAACCATTCTCCTATTTTTATTTTTTTTTATGATTAAACTGAGATTTGCAAAAGTTAAATTACTTTGCCTCCAGAGCATTCAGCAAATAAATTACAGGGGTAGGATTGGAACTTGTGAACACTGACAGTCTAAAAGTATATTATTTTGTGGTTTTTGTTTGTTTTGTTAATTCTCACCCAAGGATATTTTTCAATAGATTTTTAGAGAGAATGAAAGGGAGGGAGAGAGGAGAAAGAAAAAGAGAATAAGAGAGTGACATCGATGTGAGAGAGCCATATCAATTGGTTGCCTCCCCCCAGCACCCTGACCAAGGCCGAGGATCAAATCTGCAACCGAGCCGAAACCGGTTTGGCTCAGTGGATAGAGCGTCAGCCTGCGGACTGAAAGGTCCCGGGTTCGATTCCAGTCAAGGGCATGTACCTTGGTTGTGGGCACATCCCCAGTGGTGGGTGTGCAGGAGGCGACTGATCCATGTTTCTCTCTCATTGATGTTTCTGTCTATCCCTCTCTCTTTCTCTCTGTAAAAAAAAAATCAATGAAATATATAATTTTTTTAAAAAAAATCTGCAACCTAGGTACATACCCTTGACTGGAAATGGAACCCCCAACACTTTGGTGAGTGGGCAATGCTCTAACCACTGAGGCTACTGGCCAGGACTAAATGTGCCGTGTCCTTTTTTTTTTTTTTTTTTTAAACATTTCTTTTGTTTTTAAACTTATCTTTGTTGTTGAAAGTATTACAGATGTCCCCATTGTGTTGTTGTTGTTGTTTTTCCCATTGGCCCCCTTCTCCTTGGACCCATCGAGACTCTCCCCCTAGGCCTTTAACACACTCATGTCTGTGTCTATGGGCTATGCATATATGCATTTATGTTTCCCATTTAATCTCTCCTCTCTACACTTCCACTCCCACTTTTTCTCTGAAATTCATCAGTCTGTCCCATGGTTTTGTGTCTCCAGATCTATTTTGTTCATCAGTTTATTTTGTCCGTTAGATTCCACATATGAGTGAGATTATGTAATACTTGTATTTCTCTGACTGGCTTATTTCACTTAGCATAATACTCTCCAGGTCCCTCCATGCTGTCTTAAAGGGTAAGAGATCCTTCTTTCTTACTGTGGCATAGTATTCCATATTATAAATGTACTACTGCTTTTTTATCCACTCGTCTACTGATGGGCACTTGGGCTGTTTCCAGGTCTTCGCTATGAACATAGGGGTGCATATATTCTTTTTGATTAGTGTTTTGGGTTTCTTAGGATATATTCCTAGAAATGGGATCAGTGAATCAAATGGCAGTTCCATATTTAATTTTTTTAGGAAACTCCATACTGTTTACCATAGTAGATATACCAGTCTGCATTTCCACCAGTTGTGTACTAGGGTTCCCTTTTCTCTACATCCTTGCCAGCACTTCTCATTTGCTAATGGTAGCCATTCTGATAGATGTGAGATAATACTTCATTGTCGTTTAATTTTCATCTCTCTGATAATTAATGACTTTGAGCACTTTTTCATATGTCTCTTGGCCATCAGTATGTCCACTTTGGAGAAGTGTCTATCTAAAACTACTGGGTATTGCACTGCAAGGCGAAGGGCATGCACTGTACCAGGCCTCAGGCTGGGCACCCACCTCTGGATGCCACCCCAGCAGGTCCCAGAGGAGAATTGGCAGCAGGCACCTCATCCCCCCATGCATCCCAGCCAGTGCCGCATCCTCTGCAGGTGGAGTTATTGCTCTCTCCTCCCCACACACACTCCCTATTGGCACTGCCCAGGCCAGAGGGCAGAGCACAGAGTTTTCTCTGCACTCTGTCCAGGACACTCGCAGGCTTGGGGTTTTTCTATAGGTTTGGAAAGGGGAGTGGAGGGGGGCACAGGGAGGAGACCCTGACAATAAAGAGATTGGATTCCAACTTACTCTGAAAAATAAATAAATAAATAAATAAATAAATAAATAAAACTACTGGGCATTGAACAAAAGAATTAGAGTAGATAGAAACAAGTTGAAGGATATCCTGAATTCATGGATTGGAAGAATTAACATCATTAACATGTCCAAATTACACAAAGCAATCTATAGATTCACTGCAACCCCTATTAAATACCAATTGGCATATTCTAAAGATCTAAAACAAGTCATGCAAAGAAAGGGTCTGAATCCAAGAATACTGTACCCAGCAAGGCTATCAATCAAAATTGAAGGGGAAATCAGGAGCTTCATAGACAAAAAAAGACTAAAGGAATTTATCTCCACCAAACCAACAATGCAAGAAATGCTAAAGGGTCTACTG